AAGCTTTTTATAAAAGCTCAAAGGAATGTTAATAGTGGTAACAGAAAAAATAGTACACTACAAGAGCAAGGTGTGAGCAATAATAGTGTTTACAAAACTAGAGGGCTCTCTGTGATCTGTTGCCTTAGGGCAAATCTTTTTGAAAGTTTCCTAAAAGTTTCGTAGTCGTCGCGTTCCAGTCGAAGAAAGGTCTAAGAAAAAATTTATCTTCGATGACTTCGCCAGTAGTAAAAGCAAAAATCACCACCGGCGATGTAAATAAACTTAGCGTTGGGGACATTCACTGCCAGTTTTGCGAACTGTAAGCTTACCTCCATGCGCTCCCTCTTTATGCGAAGATTTCTTTTCGGATTCAAGATCTGTCGATTGATCTTTCTTCCATATGCTAGAAAACGATCCAAGTTTAATTTTCCGCCACTGGTTTGCGTTGAAAGCCCCGTAAATGCTATTGCAGCACTCTTCGAAATTATCAAACCGAGAAAACAGAGAAACTGTCAGCTGGAAACAAACCTATTCCTCGAATCTCACATTCAGTTGGTCAGACTCGCGTGCAGCTCAATTCTATCGATTGAAGCGGTTGCTGCACACATACGGAGCCTAGTGTAGTAAGATCGAAAGAGTCTTCCTAAACAAGAACGCATCGAAGTGGGAGGAAAGGGAATATTGTTGAGCAGGGTTCTTGGAAGAAAATTGTCATGCTGTGTGTACTGCGTTAAGTAAATGACGTCACATAGCAATTGCCTTGTGTTCTTGGTAACCAGGCCACAGGAACATAGCGTTTTAATGGCGGACGAAAATTAATGGTTTTTGAGCGCCAAAAAATACCACTTTCCTTAATCGTATGAAGCTATAATTTGCACACCATGTACTTCAAGTACTAAACTGCCAATCTATCGAAAAAAAAGGTAGTCAAAGATTTGATCGTAGTAGCACTTTAAGCCTCGTGCGAACGAACGCAACATTGTTGGATGTTACATGTTGCGTCCACCCTGTTGCATGTTGTTGGCTGTTGTTGCGTGTTGTTGCGCAAAGTTTGAAACCGGTCAAACTTTTCAGCCAACAACTCCGAACATTTCTTTTGTTCCGTGATCGCCGAAGCGTAGCGCAACAATGTTGGATCCGTTTGCACAGCTCTTCCAACGTTGTTGACTTATGAGTTGTATTTTTCCCACGATGCACTGCAGGTCCCATCTTGTTAGGAGTTGTTGCATCCGTTTGCACACCACTGCCAACAAGCACGCAACAACTCCCAACATTGCTGGCGCAACAACGTTGGGAGTTGTTGCGCCCGTTTGCACGCAACCTTAGTGGTGAACGTCGCGTTAATTTTTTCGCAGACGTTCGAAAAGGAGGCATTTTATTAGAATCCTATAGTTTGATCAAAATGCATTCTTAACATAAGAACTGTGAAAGGGGCGAAGCCCAACAGTTTCATATGCAGACTGTGCATCTCATGCAGAATATAGGTGTTCACAGTATAACATTTCTTAACATTCGGCATTGACGAAGAGCAAGTTTATACTAAGACTTTAAATTCCGATTCTTTCCTTTCAAGTAATGTTTGATGAGTTGAAATTCCTTCTACTGTTATAAGATGGGTAAACATTTAGTAAGAACTGCATGTATTTCTAGTATGTTCATTTTCATACATGTACTTGTTACGACAAAGAAAAACATAATGGATAAAAAAAAAATAATCAATGATAACTATGAACAGGTCGTGTGCTCATTATGCTTAGCTTCAGTATGGGCCAAAATTTTATGGCTAGTTAACGTATTCAGCCACAATTGATTTAACAAATTAAACATCGAAAGGAAAATTGTATTCTAGATGAAATAACCCAAATGAGGCTGTGATTCTTACTGAGAGCTAAAGAGATCAGGAAATAGGCCTCGTCTTTTAACTCCTCTGGGGTCTGTTTAACAACCTTTAGACTACTTTTGAACATTTCCAAGTCTACACTTATCCGTTATTTTAGATGTATACATGTAAATAGCGTAAACCAAACGTCCAAGAGAACAATATTCGAAACATTGTAAGAAACGTATGATATAGGGAAGTTTACCCTATTAAGCGGGTACGCATACCTCAAATTAATCGTACAAATGTGGATATTTCGGATGTCATACGGGCACTAGAACTGGGGAAAATAAACAATGACTACTCAGTGTATTACTGGCATGGTAGTTCGGCTGAGGCTGATAACACTAACCTCGACCTTGATTATTCCGGATATCACAAAAACCTCATCCAATAATTGTTTACAATGGTCTCGTGCCTTGCACCTTTAACCTTCCTTTTCTTTACTGCTAAAGAAAAAACATATGTATTAAATAAAAGTAGACTGATGGAGCAGGGTTCTGATGATGGCCTATACGGTGAGGGTCCACCCGCAAGGCGTAACCTTTACAGGCTTCAGGTATATAAAAGGATAGGAAAATCTGTCATTTGGCTCTGTAAAAGGGCCCAAAGGGTCGAACAGATGGATTTTATCGCTTCATTAAGTCGAGAAAACGTTCTATTTTTGTGATTGTTTTCTATTTAAAAGACAGTGCATTTACAGCAGTTAAAAGCGATGCAAAGGTCTAAGCAAGGTATCTCAAGGGGGTACCATTTGTCAATAGAAGGCATACGAAAGGGGTACCTTTTTCGTGAAAAAGGGTGAGGGGCTGGACCACGGGACAGAGCTTCACTGTAAAGACATTTGTTGAGTACCTTCCCGGGATTTCAACTCAGAGTTTCACCCGGCTTCTTGCTAAGCATGTAGTTAGATCAGTCTACTTGTACTCTGCTCTCGTTCAACTGTTGAGCACAATTCGTATTCGTCCCATGTAAGGGAATCTTGGATTCTAGGATTCCACACAGTTGATTGCAGTCTTTTCTAGTGGATTCTGGATTTTTCATCCTTAGTAGGATTCCAGATTCCTTGAGCTGTATTCTGGATTCCAAAACCCAGGATTCCGGATTCCACAAGGAAAAATTTCACGGACTCCGGAATCTGATCTAACTGATCTTATAATCAATAGTGACAACACTCTGGTACTTTGTTACATAATAAAAAGTACATTTTTTGACCTGCAGTTGTTTTTTAGGGAAAGGTTTATTTTGAGATCCGGCTCCAGGAACTGTGTGTATGGTATGTCAACTTACATCTCTTTGCTCTGTTTGATGAGGAATTGGAGGTCACTTCGAGGTTGACCTGTCATCTGGGCCACCTGACGACTGTTTTCTGTAAAATATCTTGTCGAAGAAGCTCATATTGCCTAACTTTTTCTATTGCTCTAGGATAGCTAAAAATACCTAGATGATCCTTCCATTCACGTACAGTTTTTCGAAGTTCATTTGATAAAATTCCTTTACAATTTTCTGAGGTTCAATTTTCCTGATTTCACTCCTGAAGTAAAGCTATATTTTGAAGAAAAAGGAAACAAAATTTTAGGAATCGAAAATTTGATGGAGAGAGGAATCAGAAAAATTCTAACTTTTGTACATGTAGAGCTTTAAATTTCATCTAAAACTTTCGGGAAAAAACTTTTTCCTTTTGAAAATACCTTCAAGTTGCCCTGAGATGACCGAACAGATACATACTTAAAGGGGCTATGTCACCCCACATGCATGCGCGAGCCACCTTTTCGAATGGAAAAATCTCTGCTTTCCGTACGATTCAACCTGAATGACATGACCGAGTCCGAGTGTCTGTCAGAATTAAGATTTGGAAAAAGAGACATTCCGATGCGATAGCTGTTTTCCATATAAAGTTCGTTTCCTCTATATTAAAGATTTATGATTTGCCTGACCTAAATACGTACAAATAAATTTGTCACTTACGAGTTCGCTCGCTCGGCCTGCACAGCTCAGTGTTGGCTTCGAAGTAAACACAATTCATCATTCAAATTTTCAATCAACATTGCTTGTTAGGAGAAAAAAGAAAGGATACCTGGATTTACGAGGTGACAAACTACAAAGCTCTTGAAAAATCGCTCAAAAACGGGGAGTTATACCTGCCGAAGCTTGTGGATTACAGGACGACGTGATTCTACTGTGTTTGGCGTCGTCGACGACACCACCACGACGAAGTTTGTTAACCGCCCTTGCGCAGTGCACCGTATCTCACTTCCGGTCGTCGTCGACAAAGTCATCGTCGTGATTCTTAAGTTCCCTAATGACGGCTACTCCAAAATGAGTGATGGAATCTTTGATGGAATCTTCCCTATAGTTCAAAGAACCTTTCTATT